GGGCTAGGAGAGGGGGTTGTCTTGGGTCAGGGGAGTCCATCAGGGGACACAGGGGTGGGACAGCGAGCTGCTCCCTCCTTCACCCTCATGCTGTCTCGGGCAGCCAGCACAGCACGTGTGAAGGGTGTGGAGGTGGGGACCAACTCAGGCACCTGTTCTTGGCATGGGAGTAGAGGGATGGATTGGAAAGGCTTGACAGACCTGGCCAGAGACCACAGATTATAGCCCTTGGCAGCCGCAGCAGGACACGGCCAGAACTCGGCCAATCCTTCCAATGACCACTAGTGAGTGAGAGGGCTCCCAGAGGGTGGGGAGAACTGGCCCTTGGCCACGGGTGATTGGGGCAAGGGTGTGAACGCTCGGCCAGCACGGACGAGGTCGGCAGGGAGACCCAGCATCCGGGGTGCCTCTCGCGAAGCTGCAGTTACTTCCCCTAACAGAGGAAAACAACATTTAATATCATTTATTTATCCACAACAAAAGCAGTAACCACAAAGGTCCCCAGAGCGCCAAACATCAAGTGCATAAGTCAGGGCCACACACAACATCGACTATGTTTTTTTTTTTCTGTTTTGTAGGGGTTTTTTTTCTTTTTTTTTTGTTTTTGTTTTTGTTTTTTGTTAGTTTTTGGTTTTGGTTTTTGCCAACAATTCCTTTAACCTGAGGAAACAAGCAGATAGAAGCAGATCACAAGGCATTCAGGACAACAGGCCTGCACTCTTGGGAAAAATGTCAACGTCATGACGAACAACAGTGGGGGTCGAGGAGACGGCAGGACAGGCAAGGGTGGGCACAGCTGGGGATGACGGGGACTGTGCGTACAGACTGGTCACATCGTATCACATGGGGGCCAAACTGCTTTGGGGGTGGCACTGTGACAGAGGACAACACTCTTGTTCAAGGGAAATATACACTAGTTTCTTTGGCTGAACCACCCAAAAACCGCAGTCTTCACCAACTGTATCCTGCAAACGGTTCAGACGATGAGAGTGTGGGGCAAGGAGGGGAGTGGGCAGGGTAGTCCTGAGGCTGATGGGATTGGGAAAAGGGCTTTGTGCTATTCTTTTACCTTTTTTCTTTCTGGGTAACTCTGGGATTCTCCAGAGCTAGCAGCAGGGACATGAGGGTGGAGGGTTCCTCAAGTGGCCCTGATGAAGTAATGGCCAGAAAAGAGTCTCATGGCATGGAGCCTTGACCCAGCACTTTGGGGGGCCCAGAATGGGGCCACCAGCTCAGCAGTGGGCAGCTCTCCTCCCAAGGTCATCTCCTCCTCTACTCTGCACCGTGCCAAACAACGGAAGTCCAGCACCACCCTCTCCAACTGCAAAGGATACTCGCTGGGAACCACAAACCAGGAAGAGGCAAAGGAAAGAAACACATCTCTCATTCCCTCCCGGGTGTCCTGGCTACTGTCTGGATGTGTGCTCGAGCATGGCCTGGGCACAGAATGAGCGGGCAAGCCGAGATGAGCCGCTTCCCCTGTCTCAGGCCAGGAGGCTCTCGGGGGCTTCAGCTCAAATGGCCAATTGCACACCTCCTGAGAGCACAGAGGCTGAAGAAACTGACTGACCCCCCTCGATCGCAAGATGCCCCCTGCTCCTAACTCTAGGGCTTGCCCGGATATGTCCCAACCCAGAGAGGTTGGCCCTACTGCAGATTAAAAGAGTCTGCTGGGCTGACGACCGAGATGGTACATCTCACCCAGGATGGATGGTCTTGGTGGTAACATGACAAGTCTCTAGAAAGTTCTGAGCCCAAGATTCTTGGAGAGCACCACGACCCAGACCCACCTCTGTCCTATCTTTAGGGTTTATAGATGAAAAAGGTTCAAGTAAGAGTTAGAAAGATCTTTTGGTTTCAACAAGGCATGGGGGCAAGGGAGAAAGATTGCTAGATGGCGGGCCAATCTACTCCGGCAGAATTCAGCCCTTCCTTAAGTTCATCCTAACAGAAGTTGAACCCTAAATCCAAACAGCCTGTTGTCACTCTGGTCCCCCTCACTGGATGAGCATGGCTGGATGGAAGGGCGGGAGAACACCTGGCCAAAAGAAACAAGTTACCAGGTTGCAAGAGGTGGGAGGGGAGGCCTGGGCCTGAGACACAACGAGTCCAGCAACAAGGAATCACCAGGCAGCTACAAGCAACAACAGCAACAACAAGAGCGGCCAGGAACGTAGCAGCAAGAGAAACCAGTACAAGCACCCCGGTGCAGCCATGCGAGCTTGCACACAGGCTCAGCCTCTCCTGGCCTGGGCTTCCTTCTCGGCTCCATCCTCCTGCAGGTCAAGGAGTGGAACACCCGTGTCATCCAGAGAATCTGGGAGCTGCACCCTACATCCCCTGCCCTCTGCAATGAGACACTCCCCAGTGGGGACACCTCAGGGTGTAGTGGGGCAGGAAAGGACAGCTCAAGGGAGGCAGACCTGGGTTTGCCCCCGTCCCTGGCCACTCTGAGCCTTGGCCAGGACCTGCAATTTGGCCCCCAGAAGATGGAACAGGCATCCTTCCAAGGGCTGGACTGGTGGCCAAGAGCCAAGAAGCAGGGAGAACTCAGAATTGATACCGGGACAGGACTCCATCCTATACCAGACTCTTCCAGAAAAGAGCCAATTCAGTGGAAAAGCTTCTAACATCTCCCCGGGGAAAGCAGAGCACCGACCCTTGAGTGAGCAGGAACACAGCACGGGGACACTAGAGAAGGGGAGCCTGCTCTGACCCTGGGTCCCTAAGGGCCTGGCGTGTGTCCCCACACCAAGGCAAAGACACACTTCCCTCACTGGGGGCAGGGAAGGGGACACCAGCTTCCTGAAACCCTTTTGGGTCTGGCCTGAGACCACCGCCTCAGTCGTGTCAAGGACCAGCTCTGTGACCTTGAACAAAAACATCCGTGAGTGCCTCGGTGTGTCGTTGGCAGGTCAGCGACGACACACAAATGCAGCACAAATGTGACCCGGGTTTCCGCGGCAACCCTTATAGGTGATCCAGGCAGAGTGCACTCTGCAGGCAGGCGCTGGTGGTCTGCGGCCCCTACGACCCCTAGAGCCCACCATCTTCCAAGAGGGAATGAGGGGGGACAGCAGCTGTTCCTAGTCATCGAGCAGGCCTCGGTGCCCTAAGTCAGCGATTCGGCAACACCAGAGCCTACTGACAAGTGAAGCGAGCTAGACCGTCAGGGTCGATGACTGTGAACTTTGGCCTAGGGAATCAGGTGCACACACTCCTCCCGCAGGTCCTTGTCCTGGGCGGAAGGGAGGTTTCAGCAGGGGATATGGCGAGAAAGTACACACGGCCTTCTCAGAGCAGTCTTCGATGCTGCCGGCATCAGCCCATTGGGACGGGTGGCATTAGGGTGCTGTCTCCTTTAAGAACTCCTGTAGGCCAGTCAAGTGTCTTTCTGAGCAGTACAACCAAAGCCCGTTTTCATCCAAGAGCCATGAATTCCAGCTTACACGAGAAGGAGTGGGAGGATGCGCAATGGGTGGATTTGGGTTTTTGTTTTTTGTGGTTTGTGGTTTTCTGTTTGTTTGTTTTTAAGAAATGGCACAGATGATGATGATATGGGAAGTTAAAGCACCGTTTGAAGGAGGGGGATGGGAAGCTGGCTTGACCCTAGCCGGGGCAAGGGCCTCCTGTGCACGCCTCGCTCTAAGCTACCCCTAAGAGATGAGCGAGCTTCCCTTGGGGGTCACCCTCCACTGACAGTGAGGTGGGGGCACGGATTTCTCTACTCCCCAATCTGTCCCCTGAGATCAGCAAGTTCCCAGGAGGCCAAACTCAGCCCTGAACCCTTCCTGAGACCAACGAACTCTCTCCTAGTCACAAATCAAATGCAACTCAAGACAATCTTCCTGAAAATATAGAGTCAAACATATTTGCGGGAAGAAAGCCCTGATCCTCCTAAGAGACCACAGCCCCATTCTCATCCAAGCATCCCACAGCGGCTGTGCCTAAGCAGCCACCATCATCATCGTCACCAACTAGTGGGAGGAGAGATCCCCGGGCCAGGGGCTTCCAACAGCGCCCTGGCAACTCCAGCTGGGCGGCCAAGGGTTGGAGCTACAGGTGACAGAGTGAAAATGTCTGTGATAACTCCATAGGATTGGCTCTGGACTGTTCCATCCATCGCTAAGTACTGTTCTCATAATTTATAATGCGTACCAGTTTCACAAAGTGCATGCTTATTTTTTAAAGTGTTTGAACTGGCAAGCTGAAGTCTTCACACCCACCCACCCCACCCTCCCTCCCCCCAACCCAAAAATCCATTAATATAATTTAGAGCCCAGCATTTTTTTTTTTTAAGATGTGGTCGAGAATGTGTCTGGGCTAGACCGCTCATGGAGCATGCTTGGATTGGTTGGCAACGATGGTTAAATCATAACAACAATAACAAAACAAAAATCTGTGGAGTTTTGTTTCTGCTGTTTGGTTTGGGGGCAGCCAAAGGCAGGCTGCAAAACAAGACTGCAGGAAAAATAAAGGGGAGGAAGTACCTCGACTTTCCATCCTGTTCCTCTCGCACACGCACATTCACACTGCATGAGTGTGCACCACCTCCCACCCCTCACACACATGCACACTCGGTCCTGGGGGGGAAGAGAACGGCAGGCTCTCAGCCGGGCGCGCACCGTAGGGGTGACATTCTCTGAGCTCTGGCTCCACAGTCTCGCACCAGGCCTAGGAAAGCATCCCAGGGGTCGGGCAGGGCAGCAAAAGCCTTGCACTCTGCGGGGAAGGAACCTGCACGCTTGCACGCTCACGAACCGCTGTCAGAGGAGGAGCCTTAGTTTCCCCCTTAACCTGCTCTGCCTGGCGGGACTAGGCGGCGGAGAGGGTGAGAAGACGGGAAAAAATGAGTGAGAAGAGGAAGAAGGAAAGGAATGACGATGGCCATAATTAACAAAGGATAATCGCAAATAAATAAGAAAGAGACAAGTCGGGGGCCGATGGGACTTACGTCAGCTAGGACAAAGGACTTGGCGGCGCTTGCGCCCTCCCAGCAGCTACACGGACCTCCGACGCCGGATGAGCCTGCGGTGGTCAGAGAAGCTGTGCACTCCAGGCGACGGGCAGAGGCTGTTCTTGAGCGTGCTGGGGGAGATCTCCTCCAGCTTGTATGGATTGGACTGCGAGTTCTGGGGCGCAAGCTTGGCACCGAAAGAGTTCTGGTGTGTGGCCACCGAGTGGTAGCAGGTGCAAGAGCACACGGACTGCAGCTCAGGCCCCTCGCCCTTGCGGGAGCGGCCACGCCGCGGCGGCGGCTCGTCCGGGATGTGGATGGCCAGGCTGGTGGGGTTGCCGGTTAGGGACGCCCGGTCTTCGGCGTCCCGCCGCTCATCCTCGCTGTTCATGGTCAGGAACCTGAGGACCACCAGGTTGAGGAAGGCGCCGATGACCGTCAGCCCCACCAGGATGTACATGAAGCTGAAGGCCACGTACAGCGGCTTCTTCTGCAGCGCGCCCTTGCTCTGCAGCGCCACGTAGTCCCCGAAGCCGATGGTGGTGAGCGTGATGAAACAGTAGTAGTAGGCGTGGAAGAAGCTCCAGTCCTCGCACTGGGAGAAGGCGGCCGCCCCGATGCACAGCGTGCCCATGCACGAGAAGAAGCCCACGGTCACCATGTTCTCCATGGACACGTCGGTGTTGTGCATGCCACAGCCTTTCTTGACACGCTTGAGGAGATAGCGCACGAAGGTGTTCATGCGCTCACCCAGGCTCTGGAACATGACCAGCGTCAGCGGGATGCCCAGCACCGCGTAGAACATGCAGAAAGCCTTGCCTGCGTCGGTGCCAGGAGCCGCGTGTCCGTAACCTGCAGGTGGACGACAAGAGGGCGGGGACAATGATCAGAGGCCAGCCTGAGGCCTGCAGGATGGGCTGTGGGGAGGAGCTTGAGGGCCCAGAAGGGGAAGGGCTGAGAGGAACAAGGTGGTTTGGGTCTAGTCACATGAGCGTAGGAAAGGACCTGGGACAGGTGGATCATCCCTTAAATCTAAACCACCCAGAACACGGACACGACCTACGTGGGGAGCTCCACTTGAACCATGCACAAAACTGTTAAAAAGTAGTTTAGCCAGTGACCTCCAGGCTGTGTGCACACACAGTGAGTCCTGGATTTGCACAGGGTTTCTGGCGTGATGCATGTGCAAGCACCCACAAGTCTGAAGCACTTCCAGTGCAGAGCACATCAGACAGGGGTGGCCAAGCATGCTGCGACCAGGATGGGGGTGGTGTGAAGGGCACCAAGGGTCACCTGGGGGCATGCCAGGGGTTGAGGAACCACACACAACTTTTCAAAAGAAGACAGCATCCGTGCTGCTCTGTGAAAGCCACCAGAGACCCAAACTGCTGTGAGAAAACAGGAAGTGCCCACCGGAGCCAAACAGCCCAAGGTTGAAAGCTGTTGCAAACCAGACTGCCTCCTGTCCATCACCTCCACTCCCATTCACCTCCCCAGTCCCCTCGCAGGGACATCACAGCACTGACACTGCCAAGCAGGAAATGGAGCCAGTTCCTCAGAACAAGTTGCTCCTTCAGGATGCAAGGCTGGTCCCATCAGCCGAGGAGGAGGAGGCTAGCAGCAGGTGCTGCGGATTCAGAGAAGTGCCCCGGAGTCCCAGCCCCCAGCTGCCAGGGGAAACGCCTCTCTAATAAAGCAATGGAGCCATGTGTGCCACTCCACAAGTGCAGCCTGCGTGGTGGCCAGCACAGCTCACCCTTGGGCACCTCTGAGACCTCTGGCCACAACTCTGCCAGCAGCTGCACAACTTGGCAAAGTCAGGCCAGTGCTGCCTCCCCACCAAGAGCTTCAGAGAGCCGGCTGGGTGCCAGGGTCACCCAGAGGACTGGCCTCTGTGTCCTCTCCCCTGGCTGAAGGAAGACAGGACAGAGCGGGGAACACTACTCAGAAAAATCCAAATGCTCCAGCTTTCCCTAAAAATCAGGAGGGTGGGCTTTTTTTACATGGGTCTGAGTCCCGAGCCCAGAACCACATGGCCAGCTTTGCCCCCTGGGGCCCCAGAGGCTCTCTGTGGTCACCTTGCCACCACGGCCCTTAGCCTGGCCATGCAGAGTACCACTGCTGTCTGAGACTGAGCGGCTGTACCCCCCGCTGCACCCGAGCCCCCAGGACAGCCGTGCTCACAGGAGACCCCACCTCCAGCCCAGTACTCCTTCCAGCCTCACAGTCTGGTTTGTGGGTGCCAGGCGAGTGCTACAAAGGATGTGTCCTAACACCCGGGCAGGCACTATAAATCGTGGATGGTTTCCTTGGCCTAGCGCTGAACAGGTCCCAAGCCCCTGCCCTGTATACCTGTCCCGGGGAGGGGACTGAGGCCGAGGGCAGCCAGTGGGCAGAGAGAAAGCCCATCTACTCCCATAACAACTGTGGCCTGCGCAGGGGGCCCAGCTGCCCTGATTTTCTGAGTTATAAAGAGACTGGAAGTCAGGATGCCTAAGATGCGATACACAATTGTTTATTTCACCATCCGCAGTCTGCATGGGATAGAGACCACACAGAAAAGGCCAAAGGGAGACAAGCAGATGACAAAGGGACAGAGGCCATGCCCCCCCCATGCACGTTGCCCCCACCCCGTGAGGCCCCAGGGCAAGGAGCACCAGCTGGGTCCCATTCTACAGACGCACAAGGAAAGGCAGTGAACAGAGATCAGCCTGTGCAGCTATGGCCAGGTCGGCCGTGTCCTGTGCAGAGCTAAAGTGTGCCTCCCCGTGGCATGGCAGGGGCTGTGCTCCTGTGCCAGGCGGCTTCGCCCTCTGTGCCAGCCCGAAGTTTGTCCCCATGTCTTCTGAAGGAAGGCAACCTGGGGACTGCATGCAAAAGCAAGCTCCTCCCTGGCCTCTCTGAGATTCACAGACAATAAGGATCACCACCTCTTTCAGGTGGCCTTCATTCAGATTTTAAGGGAGAACACAAACCTAAAAATACACGCGAGCTGGCATACACGTCTGACTATGGCTAAGGGTGAGTCGTTCTCTCTTCTCTGTTCCCAGCAGAACTTGGGCATTGGACCCCCTCGCCCCGAGGTGCTGCTGGGGGGAGCAACATGACAGCTGCACAACCCAGCAAACGCACCACATGCCACCCAACTGCTGAAGTGTGTTGGTTAACTACACAAATCCTCCCTTGCAAAGCCCAGCTCTCCCCAGCCTGCAGGTGAGGAAGTGGAGCCAGGGAGGGGGCCTGGATAGATGGGGTCACCCACCCTTGATGCCTGCGGGGTTCCGGCAGACAGATCTGCCCGGGTGTGCAGGTCTGCCTCCAGTCTCCCAACCCGAGCCCACGGCCAGCAGCCCCCACTGCAGTTGGAGTCACAGAAGCCGTTGAAAGAGGCAGGAAAGAATTCACCCATGCTCCACACACAGTTGCTCTGGGAAGAGGTAGCAGCTGCCAAAAAGGGCGGTGCTGAAGACCACGCCTTCAGCCCTGGCCTTCACTGCCCAGGACCGGCGACCGGAGATACAAGGGTGCCCTCTGGTGGGCGATCAGTTGGCTGCAGAAGCCCAAAGGCCACCTGCCCGCACGTGGGCACGAGTCCCTCATATTTTCCATAGCTGTGTATGTGTGCCACGTGGTGAATTTTTTTTTCTCAGCAACCGAGGGAATTTTCTCAATGATAAGATACAACTATACTAGTGGTCATGACATGAAACCAAAGTTTTGAGAATACATCCCCAGTGCCAAAATGAAGCTAAAATACTCAGCCGTACTCTGGTGTAGAGGCGGCCCATAGCCAGGTGAGTGCTGCTCTCAGGATCTCCAGGCAGGTCACGTGGCCCTCCCCTGTGGAGCTGATCCGGGTTCTGGCCCCACCCACCAGGTACCAGGTGGTCAGATGGCACAATATGCCTGTCTCACCTCCCTGTCTCCACCACCACCCTGTTTAATGAAAGCCTCTCTCCCATCCTCCCCACCATCGGAAACAAATCTACATGTAAAAGTGCATGGGGAAAAGAGGATGAAATTTCAACTTCAAAAGTTGCTGATAGAATTAGAAAATATAAAGTCAGGCCCAGCATGGTAGCTTAGCAGCTCAAGTCCTCACCATGCACATGCCGGGATCCCATATGGGCACAGGTTCTAATCCTGGCAGCCCCACTTCCCATCCAGCTCCTTGCTTGTGACCTGGGAAAGCAGTCAAGGACAACCAAAGCCTTGGGACCCTGCACCTGTGAGGGAGACCCTGAAGAAGCTCCTGGCTCCTGGCTTCAGATTGGCTCAGCTCCAGTCGCTGAGGCCACATGGGGAGTCAATCAGTGGACAGAAGAGCTTCCTTCTCTGTTTCTCTTCCTCTCTGTATATCTGACTTTCCAGTAAAAATAAATACATCTTTAAAAAATACAAGTCAAGCTAGGATCTAACACCCACTCCTCAACAACTCATATTATGGTGCCTCTTCTGCCATCAGCTCATGCTGACGGCGCGTGTGCCCTCATGGCCCATGCTGACGGCGCGTGTGCCCTCGTGGCCCATGCTGACGGCGCGTGTGCCCTCGTGGCCCATGCTGACGGCGCGTGTGCCCTCGTGGCCCATGCTGACGGCGCGTGTGCCCTCGTGGCCCATGCTGACGGCGCGTGTGCCCTCGTGGCCCATGCTGACGGCGCGTGTGCCCTCGTGGCCCATGCTGACGGTGCGTGTGCCCTCGTGGCCCATGCTGACAGTGTGTGTATCCTCGTGGCCCATGCTGACGGCGCGTGTGCCCTCGTGGCCCATGCTGACGGCGCGTGTGCCCTCGTGGCCCATGCTGACGGCGCGTGTGCCCTCGTGGCCCATGCTGACGGCGCGTGTGCCCTCGTGGCCCATGCTGACGGCGCGTGTGCCCTCGTGGCCCATGCTGACGGTGCGTGTGCCCTCGTGGCCCATGCTGACGGCGCGTGTGCCCTTGCACACACAGGCATGCACAGACACAAAGGTGCAGCTGAGGAGACTTCAACACATCTGTGCAAAAAAAAGGGGGAGTTTACAGGGTCTGGGTAAAAAAAAAAATGTAAAACCCAGGCAGATGTGGAACCTTCTAAAAAACGCATTTCAAAAGTTGTCCACATGAAAATACATAATCTATAAATGCACTGTTGCACGGCTTTCTGACACTCCCTCACATACGCGCCCATGCTCGCATGCATGACCAGTGCTCTGGGTACCACATATTTGTTCTGCTGCATCAGAGAAACAAATCAAGGGCAAACAGCAGGACCCAGGAGTGCCTCTACCCCGGGTCTGTTCATGGTCAACAGGTGATGCACACACACGCTCCTAGTGAGCTCAGAGCCAGCCACGCACAGCCTTTCTGTCCCTAGTTTCCTTGCTGCCAAACCAAGGATCCAATATAAGGACTTGGGCTTGGGAAGACTCAGAGATGGCAGTCATGTCACCTGTTGGCGGACACCTTGACTACTTCCACTTGCCCTGCTTGGGCACCCCCTGAAAACCCCACAGCCAGCACTGGCAGGTGAGTGACCATCTGACAGATGCTGCATGCACAGGCATGCCTCCCACACACACTGCCATGTAGACACACATACACAAACACTGGACAGACACACTGCCCAGAGCCCCGCTCTCCCAGGCCCTGCCTTACATAACGGCAACTCGAGCCGCCTCTGAGACTGCAGCATGGAAAAAGCCAGGCTGAGCATGGCTCCGGGAACACCTGCCTGGCTGTCACCCCAGATGACACTCATGGCTGCCCTGGGCTCCCTGTTAGGGGCAAGACTCGCCCCAGCACATCTCCACAAGTGGGTTTGCTGCGTGATGGGTAATGTAGATAACGCCCACCACCATCGCCACGTGTATCC